TTTAGATCGCTATGCTCATTAATAAAAGCGAAGCAAGCTGCTTACCTTACATTGCTTTATTCATCGTTACTGCTTTCCGGTGGTCGTTCAGTGGAAACATTTTCTCTTATTTATTAAGATCATTTTTCGAAAGAAATTTTGGAAGAAGTCATAGGGCTAACGAATCAGAGTAGCCTGGGTTAGTCACTTGACCTATGTTATATAAATTTGAATAAAATGGAGGCAGGATAGAACAAAAAATCGCATCATGAAACTGACGTTAGAGAGTTTTGAGTTCTTTAAAGTTTTGGGAATGATTTTCGAAATCCTGCCTAGTGCTGTCCACCTTATGGATAGAGGTAGTTATGAAGCGACAGGTGGGTGGATTATTAAATGCTTTCAGTATCGTTGAAGATAACTGTGAAGTGCTTGTGAGTGTGGTGTAATCTATAGGTCATAGAATAGTATGTTCCATTGTCACATTTTTAGGTAGGGGCGGGCGTAAAAATAATCACCTAAGACTCTAATGTTATTAAGGGAATTATACTAATTTGAGGTCTGATAGAAAAGAGATCATTCGGAATTTGTTCAAGAACTGTGCAGACAGAGAATCCTAGGTTACTTATTGACGGTGACCCAAAAAAGGCGAGTAGAGTGGAGCTTCAATTGATTTATTGCTATCAAAATTGGAAGGAAGGATACTGGGAAGGGAGGAACGCTGACTTCCCAGTATTCTTCCTTCCATTTGGCCCCTCAATTCATTAGATTGGATGAACATATATTCAAATCTTTCGTAATTCTGAGTGAATTTCAAATACTCGGGGGGGGGGGCAACGAATTGGAATTGTCATTTCTTCTAACGCGGCAGGGCGGAAGTGGTGTAGTGGCAAGTGGCACGCTTACCACGCGAGCGGTCCGGGGATCAAATCCTGGGTCGTGAGTCGCCCGGGCCAACCAAGCCTTCCATCCCTCCGGGGTCGGTTAATTGGTACCAGACTTGTCTGGGAGGATAAAAACACTGACTTGTACATCGGCTGGCCCCCGCAAGTCATTGTATAACATCGTATAATGCCACTACGAATGTACAAATGGAAGTAGAATGCGTGCCGCATTAAAAAAGCGCATTGTAACGGCAATGTTTATCTTTTTATCCTTCAATGCGGCGTTATTGAGTACTTCAAACGAACGAAAAGTCGCCGTACGAGACCTAAAGTTGAAGCTCGTCAAGCCTAAGAAACGAGAATTGTTTGCTATAGGACATTCTATAGGGACATTCAAGTGCCGAAACTTGTTATCGAAGCAGGGAGCTAGTAAGTGTTGTTGAACGATAAGAGGCGTCAGCGTCGAGCAATAGTTTTTATCGAATAATTTACTTAAACTTTGTGACACATTGGCTTTTGAATGGTTATTTGTTGCATCTTTTCTCTTTTATATTCACATAATAATATGCACTTAGCTAACAGGAGTACAGAGAATATGGATGGCCAGGTCGGTGTTGATCCAAGGTTTAGTCTACAGAGCTACGCGTATGGCAGCAGCGCTTCCTACCAATTACCCCATCTTTGTCTAGAGTGGTGTTACGTTGTGTTGGGAATCAACAGAGAGGTGTTGTGAGCTAATATTTGATCAGTTCTGGATATTTCTGAGACTGATGTCGTCGGACTCTGTCATTTTAAAACGAGCTCAAGAAGTGGTTTCTCAAATTAGTCTTCCAGTATACTACAAATTTGCTTGCAATTTGTTAGCTTTATTGGTTGCTGTAATGATCAGTTCCAGGCGGCCGTCTGCTGGCAGGTACTATAAATGAGAAGTGTATCGCTTTCTGCTGTCGAGTCGAGTCGTCTAGATTCGTCTTCTCGTCTGCGTCGTCAAAGTGATTCACATCGAAGTTTGCTGGAATGACCACCCGCTTTTTCCCATATCTGGTCATCTACAGCCAATAATTCTTACCAGTTTCCTATGTTGCGGGTTACTGAAAACTTGTATAGTTTCAAAAAATGGAGGAGCCAGAGTGGTGCTTCAACCGTGACGACGTGCCGCTAAAGGGATTAGGGAGGGTTATAAAGTTTCTTAGATACTTCTTCGTAGTTGCGGCGTGCGACAGAAGCAAACAATAATGCCTCTGGACATGACCGACTTCATCCCTGGATGCTTTGTCTTGAGAAATCAAATTTTTTTATATAGACCAGGTCATTTAGCCGAGTGTCGTGGTCACGGGGCAGAGCTAAACCTCTAGGCTTTCCAACGAAGCTTTTCATTATGTCCTATTGATTGGTTCATGCTGTTGCGCGATCTAACCAATCAATAATTTGCAGGGATTCTGTGATGAATCTCATTTGCCTTCATTCTACTTTGTTTTGGAATGCCTAATTTCTAGATTATAAAATTACGAAATGTATTTATTTGTGAATGGGTTATGAGGAATGTGAGCTTTTTGATTTTGTAGGCGCTCTTTAGACGGATTCACGATGTAACAACATCGTGCAAGTTGCTCATCAAGCGTCGCAGTTTACTGAAACGATATCGATTCTTGTCCAGCTTTGTTATTGATCCGATCGATTTTCCAATGTTAATTTTTTTACGAGGGCAACATAGCAAGTGAGCTGTGATAATAGGCTGTGATTACACAGTGTTGTGTTCGCTTTTGTAACGGTGTAAAGCTGCACACCTCAACTGTAACCGATCGATATTGTTCTGTAATTATTGATTAGCAATGATTAAATACCGCTGTGGATCTTGTGTTTAAGGATCCAATGTCTAGGAGTTTCTTTAAAGTTATGATACCAGTAAAACCAATGAAATGTTCAGTGTAAATCATTTTTTATTTGAGGTTATGTGGCCTATCGTTACTTTCCAGTTATTGATCCCCATTGATCGATTTCAACCGATCGATAGTTGAATTTGATGATTTGTCACAGAGTTGCCACCGGTGAGGCGAGTGCGAGACGGTGATGAGTCTCGCTGGAGTGCGCGATCCGCTTCGTAATCGTCAGTACTACGAGGATCGTTATGGGTTGTCACCGGTGCAACCAGCGGTCAGTTTTATTGATTTCATTTTCTTTTCTTCTTTTCTTTTTCTTTATCCACGGATTCTTCGTCAATTGCGCGAATTTATTTATTTAAACAAGAAAAGGAAAATGACGGCAGTGTCAATTAAGCGGCTGTCAGTTTTCTGATTTCCGTTAAGCTTCAAACTTATTAGCACATTAACGACGGCTGCGAGCATGCCAGTATCTTTCTTTTATTATTTTTTCATTAACAATCTTTACCCCTACAACAATTCCGTTGTTGGTAACGAGTAGGCAATTTTCCGAATCCGATGAAGCATATCGCTATGTGCGAATCCATTCAAAAATTCCTGATGCTATAAAAGAGAACGAGCCTCCACGTGCAGTAAACGTGAGCGCGATCGCGCGTAACCGCATCGCGCTGTCGTTAATGTGTTAAAGCCGCTGTATTGTTCACATTTTTATGCCGGGAAGCTTGCCGTCTATTTCCATCTATTTATTGATCCTTTTTGGAGAATCCGTGGTTCGTTATCTCGCGACTTGGTCTCGTTACCATTATCGAATTGCTTCTTCTGTGAACAGCGAACAAGATCACTAACTATGAATCTTGTATGGTGCTGAATGACTGCATCTATTAGTTTGCTGTAGGTAAAGACAAAGGCTGAAAGTATTCGTTTTGCAGGGATTCCGGGCGCTGGGACACATTTCGATGTGGCTTTTCTCGTCCGCATTTACTGAATATTTCCCACGTCTTACCATTATTTTTTTTACTTTCTTTATGTTATAGTGTAGTCGACTAGTACTTGTTTTTTTGGACAAACTAGTAGTTGTTTTTCGATATATTAGTCTATCTAGCATAGAAATCGCTCCGCGTCTCGGTGCGCAGCACGTCACGGCACATTTTCCATATGTGTGCACTAGTAGTCCATAGTGAATATTCCAGTGTTGGTTTTGTGGAACAGATTCTTCCTTCCAATTCTATCTTCACTATAGTTTCCTGACCTCATATTTGTTCTAACTGAAGCTACAGTATGGTGTTAGGTTGGAACTCTGGGAGATTCAGAAACAAGGCGATCGTCAATTGTACCGGGATCGATCCCTTTTTGGGGTGCCCCTCTACATTCCATTTTACTGATTTGTAGTGGCATCCTTGATTGCATTAGCCTATATAGTGACTTAGTGGGGCCAGCCGATGTAAAAGTTGCGTTTTTTCCTCCGAGCAACTCCTGTGCCAATCAAAGGAAGGGCTGGAAGGCATGGTTTTCCCTGACGACGCACGATCCAGATCCGATCCCCGGAAGGCACGGGTGCTAAAGCGTACCACTTCCCGCTATATCACTCCGCCCGTAGTGCAGGAGTAATAACTTTAACTACAATATCAATGTTAGGGCATGCATACCGATGAATCTTGGAAGATCTTTTCAGAGGCGGAGTCTCGATTCCTCCCTGTGGGCGGGGCTAGCTAGTATTCCTTTTGTAGACAGAGTGCATAAAATTGCCTTGGAGGGGTAGTGTAGGGGTGTGAATGCAATAAAGGCAAGCCCTGAGGTTGGGCTTTTTCTTTGAAAAGCATGTCGCGAGTGGAAGTAGTAGGGCTGCATGTACAAACATCTGCCACTTTCGCCGCTTAAAATGCGCAGTTAGGATGCTACTAGGTGGGTACATGCAACCAATGACTACCCGTGCAACCTCCCACCCACCGCGGCTTTTGTAAGGATCGGTGTCATTGGCCGCGGCTACTCGCAGCGTAGTTTACGACTCAGTGGCTAGGAGCATCTTAAACTACGAAATGAGATCGAATGATAGCTGTTTTTGCGACTATGTCAAAAAAAAACTCGTCTGAACACACCTCTTTCTCATCCGAAGGTGAACTGCTGCTGAAAGAGAGTGAGGCCTTGTTCGGAGTGTAATCTGCGATTTCTTTTGCTATTTTTTCTTTTTAAGATCATTCCACCCACATCCATTATTGAGCGTTCTAACGCACCAATTCTATCACGGGGCTGGTCTTGGAGTGAAGTACATATCCAGTGCAACATCTGCCATTAAGTCGTGTGAGCGTGAACGATCCAGAGATGTTCGGGTCGCTTAGCAACTCGCCTTTGATTTTTTAAGATGTTGAGAAAGTGTAGAATTTTTAAACGAGACCAAGGTGGCTCTCGCATGTCGGCGCTAGAGTTCATGCCATGTTTTTCTGAGAACTACCCCATCCCGAAGCACTCCTGCGTAGAGTACTTTCAAACAGTCTCCGTCTGTTGATATCGGGTTGAAAACGGTGATATCGTTTCAATTTTTTCCTTTGTCAAAATGTTGAATTTTGTTAAATCCGTGTTTTCCCCTGCCGTAGTACGTGGCTTCCATGGAGGTTTTCTCGGAAAATGAATGACTTCTTTTGAGAGATTGATTCGCAATATCTAGTAGTCTGACCAGTGAAGCATATTTCCCAGGGAATAATTTAGTGAGCGTTGGACGTCGTATTTTTCACTTTCAGATCTGAGATACTAACAATTTCGTGCCACCAACACAAGGAACCTGTTGTCTGTTTTTGTATAATCCCATCTAATTAAGATCTGCGCTCTTAGCTCTTATTGCTCCCCAACAGCAGCATTGCCGTCGGACGTCCTTCCGTTGTCCTTTTTAACCCCTTTTGATTAGGGTATACGCGCGGGCAGGTGATTATATGTGCTGACAGCTGTGTACGAGTGAGTGAGCATAAAAGAAAGTGCAGCTGAGTTTTCTACGCTCGATATAGTGTATTCCGCTGTGTAATGGCCCTTATCCTGCTGAGATGAGATCGATTTTAAGTATATGTCTATTGAAATGACCCGTTTAGTGCGATAAGTGTAGCATTATAGAGCGAGGTGGGTGCTCCACCTATGAAAAGCTTCATCCTGTGCTGGGATTAGCCGGGGATAATCTGGGCGCTTAGTCTGGGAGTTGCTTAGCGATAGTGTTCACGCAGTAGTTCGTATTCGGTTTACGCTCCATTGCCTTCTGCAGAAGGCGATCTTCTCCAATAAACGTCTGTCTAACTGAGTTCCAAAGCGAAATCTCACAAGACTTCGTTGATTTGGCCCCAAACGTGTGTGTGTGTTCACAACTGATTCCTTTTTTCCGTCTTGGTATATGTCCATGAAGTAAATGTAAATAGCTTATGTAAATAGACCGAGAGTAGTTCAGATAAGCCCATCGACGGCAACAACTGCGACCAATAGTTCGGCCAGTGTTCTGGTGCCGCTAAAGACGTCAAATTTTGCTGACAAAGGGAGCCCGTCAAATCCAGCACCGGCAGAAGCGCCAGCAGCGGTTCTGCCGACGACGTCATCGCCGACCAGAATCACCGTCACTCCCGCTCCGGCTGCAGTCGCCGGAAGTGGCGCCGGAGGTCAGTGTTTACAGTGGTTTCGAAACCATGACGTTGTTTTGTTGGGGTGCTTGTTTAAAAGAGTGGGACCTGATTACAGAACTGGGTCGTCTTATGAAAACAACATGGGATGATATCAAGGAGCTGCTAGGGTTTGTGCCGACGTGTCTCAACGGTGGCACCCGAACACCTGGTACAACTTGCCGCTGTCCGAAGTTGTTCGAGGTGAGTGTGACCTTCTTTGCCTCGCCAATTTCCGTCTGTTTTTGTATTGAAATTTATTTTTCGTGCATTATTGCTTCATTTTCATTCCAAATTGTTTTAGGGTGCTTTGTGCGACAAGAAAATATGTTTAAATGGTGGAAAGTTGGAGAGAGCAAAATATGGACCGGTCTCCTGGGATTGCAAGTAAGTCGAATTCAAAAGTTGATATGATATCAGTTGTTTGATAGTGGTCAAATTTGAAAGCAGAGGTGCAAAGTGGTGCAACAATGGAGGAAAAACCTCAGTGAACACCAAAATTCCGAGAACTTAACATTTCCTCTTACAACTGGCTTCAAACGAGTTTGTGATTGGGATGTTGGCCGTTGGAGCAGATTTATCTCAACGATATATAAAAGCCGACGAACTACTAATTACGGCCATCTAATGCGGAATGCACCTTTAAAATGAAAATCGAACAGTGATGGTAATGATCTCATAAGCTTCAATAACTACGCTTGGGGGCGGAGTGTTGTCGCAAAGAGGCCCCGGGCGGTTTCTTTTTGGAGCGAAGTTTTCGCTGAGACGCCACCTAGTTGCGAAACCCCGCTACTTTTCCTCCATTTGTCGCGCTGCTACCACTTTCGGTGGTACGGTAAATTCATGTTGGGACGCATTTCATGGGATCACTTCCTTGATGTACTGGCTATTTGTACATGTACCCATCAGACTTTGCATGTTCTCTGACTTTTTTAACGTGCGCGAGTTTTCATGCGTCTATCGTAATTATGTGATGCAGCACTCATTAGTGCTGTGTCTTTACATTAATATCAATAGACGGTATTGACCAAAGCAGAGCTAGCCAGTCTGATCCTGGGAAAGGCCGGTGCAGGACTGGCGAATCCAGCGATTCGCTTGGTAATCGGTGGATGCCAGCGTTTTGAACCAGGTGAATGCGAGCGTGTCCAGCGGTCGAAACGATTACTTCACTGACTCTACACGTGTTGGAATGACGATCGCTTTTACGCGTTTGGCTTCTCGCTTTTTTTGTCGGGCCCTCACGGAGTCTGAAGCTCGGGAAAGTGCGAGAATCGAGCGTTGCAACTGAGAGGCTTCCGCACTCCTGGAACCGTGTGAAGTTGGTGGTCCATCGTTCGAGCGACTGCTGGACACAGCTCAACTTCGCTGACGCTAACTCCGTATCCGCGATCGCGGAAAGTGATCACGCGACCCCAGGTGACTCCCCAGTTTAGCCTTTTCTAGAGCGAGTGCTATCTGGAGCGTAGATGATCCCATTCTGTTGTTCCTTCCCATATCAGTCTCTATAGTGAAAATGACGTACAAAATCTCCAGTATTGCGAACTCATTGCACCTCATTATACATCCCGCGATTTTTAGTTTTACCAACAAGCAAGTCAAATCGAATAGGTGAGGTATCTCAGCTAAACCCGAATTCAAGGCACTGACCCTGGGTGTTACAAGGGCTATCAAGTGGTTGACTATGACGGCATTGAAGAGACTGTAATTCAATAGAGTTGTAGAAAACTAGGGTATCGAGACGTGACGTCGCATGCAGTATAATCCTGGTAAAGGTAAGTTGGTAAAAGCATTTAAATTTCATAGAAAGGAAGTTATCACGTTGGTATTGATTGTTTCGTGATAGTTTCCATCCGAAGTCCTACCATAGCCGAAGATATGTTGTATGGCTGCATTAGTAGGCGTTATCGTGATTTGAAGAGGGTGACCATTCGTGCTGGCACGAAGTACACGCTGGCGCGTTTCCAGTTGTGCTTTTTGTCCCGGTGGGGCGATTGAAGTGCATTTCCCATGTATTAAAGAAGCGGTCGCATTGGCCCATAATCATGGGAAAGGGCGCTCCCAAATTATTGATAAGGGTCGAGTAGCGCCGAGCCCGAAACGTTTGATGTGAGCGTATGGAAGATGTGATACGATAAGCTAGTAAGATACGGCTGCTTATAATGAGGTGCAATGAGGATGATACCGGATGATAACGGAATGGTGTCAAATGAAGTACGCTGGGGTTGTCATCTCTTCCATGTCCGAAATAGTTGGATGGGACAAGTGTCTGGAAGTGGATAGGACCTGCTTCTGGCGCTTGATCCATGCGCGATAACTGGGGAACAGCCTTTCCCAAAGGTCACTTGCATGCCACCACTAGCGCTACACTTGTCTCATTGGCTAGATTTTCACCTCAATCCATTATGCGCATCCTTCTCATTGTTTCCGGTCGGATTTCATCGGGACCTCTCTTCCTTTACCACTATGCTCAGAACGATTTCTCATTATCGATTTTGTGTTAGTCTTATCGCTGACGGTTTGATGAAGTTATTATCCTCTACATCATTCAAAATGCTATTTTTGCATGACGCAATAAGTTCAGTCTGGAGGGTGCTCTGACAAACTGAGCAATAAGCACGTGAAATCGGTGTAACAGACCGCCTATTCGAAAAATAGCGAGACACTAATGACAAAACACGTGCCCTGAAATTTGAAGGCGATAGTGGTAGGGCATAAGAAATTCAAGTTGGACATCAAGGTAAGAAGCATGAGGTCACCCGCCTTTGTTCAGTCCCTTCTTACAAGGGAGGTCTTTCAGGGCAAGGTGCGCTTTTTGGAAACGGTTGAGTACATGTTGTAGGGACGCATGTATGGACCACAAAACCATGTTTCGTTTCCGCTGAACGGTTTTAGTAGTACCAAAAAAAGGTGAGAATAATAAAAAAAAAGTAAAGACGATAATACTCTTGATGGTTCAATCCCCCGCGGCGACTAAAATTTGCAATCAAGGTTGGCGGCCACTTGTTGGCTTCAAAATGGTCCTGACGATGAATTTGACATCTGATTTTGATATTTAGCGCGATTTGGCACCAAACCGTAGGCGCCAACCCAAATGCAAAATTTAGTCGCCACGGGGGATCGAACCCTTAACAGTACCTTATGCTTCTTTTTTTGTACTGCTATAACCGTTCAGCGAAAATGAAACATGGTTTTGCGTTCCCTACATGCGTCCCTACAATATGCAAAACCGTTTTGAAAAAGCGCACCTTGCCCTGAAAGACCTCCTTGTTAGATGCTTTGAGTGCACATATGGTTCATAAAACTAAAAAAGAAATTCTGTGTCAACAGTTGAACAGGCGGTTGTCATTTTGAGATGGTTTCATTCACTGCCAACTGTTTAGTGGCCTGAAGGCAGGGTCGCTAACTGTCGGCTTGAAGCCGGACGTCTGAATCACAACACATGTGCGTACGCCTGTGTGACTGTACTATCGCAGCCCGTTTGCGGTATGCATTAAAACAGTGACGACAGAGAGCAGGACGTCGGGTTTCATAGGAGGCATCAGGAGCGGAAAACGTATATATGAGATCTATTTAGGTGCTAAATATAGCAAGCCTGAGTTGTGGATGCATTAAAAATGGGTCACAATTGGATCTTTAGAGAAACACTCTTTTTTAGTGAGGTAGCAAGATCTCTAATCACAGAGGTTCTTGATCGGGATTCCATCACTATACCTCCGTTTAACATCTACTTATTGAATATTGCTGAAAAGTTTTACACATGAATGCTCAGTAGTTAACAAAACTCTTGCCCCAGAGGTGGAGGGACGCGGGGCCTCCGCGCCGCACACCTGTTGCGCACTGGCAAGTTGCGCTCTAATTCAGCGCTACGGCGGTACCAGCAAGAGTGGGATCGCCCTTCGCGTCTGGGGCAAAACTTTGTTAACAATCAGCATTTTTGTACAACAATTCGAGTGCGAACATGCGGCAAAAGTAGCCGTCGACCAATAAACAATGTGGGGGTCCAACGGGACTGGTTCTCGCCGCCCGGTCGGATCCACGCGCGGGTAGAACCGCGCTCCGTTTCGTCAGTCGAACTCATGAAATAATGTGGAAGACAGTAAGTCACTAAAAATAGAGCTGCGCCCGAACGCCGTTACTGAACACAGAAAACAAACGAGATCATATGAGCATTTTATTACTCTTAGTAGAACAACGATAAATGATATGAATCTTCGAAATGGCTTCAAGTGAGTACAGAGGTAATGGAACTGATCTAATGGAGCAATCTGGCGGTGGACGCCAAATGGAAGTGGTTCCCAGGCTGAACGCTCTAAGCACTTCCCCTCGATGGACACAAGTTCCCAAAAGCCTCTCAGTGACAGACCGGGTTGCAACGCAACCGCTTAAGATGACGGCTCTAATCAAGACTGCCCGTCAGATTGCTCCTCGAGGCGCCCCTCCGTTTCGCGGGCTTTTCAAAAGAGCCCACGAACGGAGGCGCCCCTCCTGCACGGCGATCAATATCGCCTGAATCCCTCCTAAGGACCTCAACGATTCCCAGAGACCCGTAATAGACACACAACACAAGGAACTTCAGATTAAGGCACTGAATACATGACACGAGTAAAACAGTAACATGGATACATATACATTACAAAGAACATTCAACATGCCCCCCCCCCTCACTTCAGCGAGCTGCCCCACTCAGCTCACATGCGACGCCCATGGGGGAAGAACCTGTGTCCCTTTTTGCTGGATCTACGATAAATATAGACCTAGACCACGCTTGGGGGACTACGCCTCTCCTGCGACTCTCTGTGTCCGCCCTTTTCTCTTCACGAGAAGTCTCCTTTCTATAGGCTTCCAAGCTCGAGTACGGCAGCATGACACTCCGATATTGTTGCATTTGAAAAATCTTGGCGCTGTGCCTGTGTCGAATCGAGCTTGAGTGGTCTGTTCCCTCTCCAATTGCGAACAATAGGATGACTTTTGTTGCTCCGCGTTGCGACGAAGTTATTACGAATCGCGAAGAATAACAACTGATATACGCCCTTGATCTACATGTGCGTGGTGCCAGTACATCTCAAGCCAATCTCGAGCGTGTTGAGTCAAGCCATCCCAACTGGTGAGCATCTCATTCAGTATATACCATGCAAGCCTGTACGGAATGCCTGTCGTAGCTGCCTCACCGAGGACAGCCCAAGGAAATCTCTTTTCCAGTATCGACTGACCTTCCTCATATGGTGTGCTGCTTATTATCCTCCAACCGTGTTTATCTTCATTGCGACAGCAAGCTGGTTCGTCATGACCACTGGCGCCCGCACGCGCTGCCAACCAATTCTTCACTCTGTTGGTAGCGTCCGCTTATCCACCGAACGGGAAGGCACGCAGCACCCACTTCCAAGAGAGAAA